TGTTAACCAAGGACTCGAGTGCATCATCTTTTGGGGTTGTTTTGTTTGTTTGTTTTGCTACCGGGGATCGAACTTGGGACCTTGTGCTTGCCAGGCAGGCAGTGGAACCACTCGGCTAAATCCCCAGCTTCAGTGCACTGTCTTTACATGTTGTTATTCTTTCTCTTTTGCTAAAGGTTAGTTTCAGGGTACTAAATAACTTTTAATCTGTCACTAATTTGAATAATCGTAATTACTCAGAAACAAATACTGCGGTACTGTAGGTTTGCGTTCTGTTTCAGACCATTGATTTTGCCACCTCGCTGAGCACAAAATACTTGTTATTAAGCTCAGTGAGACCTGAAGGAAATCAAGTTTATGTGTTTTATTTAGTATCTGTTTTTCTTTTTAGCTGAATGGTTCACGCTTTCATACTGGACTCGTAAAACCTATAAGCATAAGAAAGATTCTCATTTTGCAGGAACTAATGAGTACTGAATAACTTAACTCAAGAGCGGAGTAAATATCCCTGGATCTCTATTTCTCTGTGCCTTCAATAGTGCTGAATAGTGACTTTCCTTTGGTTTTGATTCCATTCGTACCTGTTTTAAACACACGCCTGTTATGTGTTGTGCTGTATGCGCGGCGGGAGGCTTTAATGAAAGGTGAGTCCTTTTATTTTAAATTTTGCACAGGGCATCCCCATGTCCGTTTCTCGTGAAGGGATGATAAAGCACCTCTTCAGGAACAAAGAGATGTTTCTGTTTTTCCGGTACCCACTGAGATCCTTATTCCTACAAGGAAGGAGGCCGTAGGGAATTAGATCCTCCGATTTTATATGGAAAACAGTGATGATGGGATTTAGAAACTTTCTCTTATTTTCCTTCTGAACTCTAGTTTACCGCCACCTTACAATTGGTGCTAAAGGCCTTGATCTTCCTGTTGTCTTCTTTTTTCTCCCTGTTCTAAGTCTGTTTCTACTTTAATGTGCTAGTCGCTAGCCGTGTATGACTGAGCCTAGTTGGAATTGAACAGAAATTTCGTTTTATCACTCCTACTAGCTGTTATTTCTTGTGCTCGGTTGCCACACGTAGCCAGTGGACACCTTACTAGACTGTGAAGAAACAGTGTAGAAAGGTTTGTGGGACAGAGGCACTGTGCTTAGTCATTATTTGCCTAAGAGGAATTTGGGGGCAGGGAGAGAATACACCAGCCAAAACAACACAAAAGCAACCCATCAAATTCCATTTTTTTTCCTCCTTTAGGCCAGGGTTTCACTATGTAGTTCAGGCTGGCCTTGAACTCACTATGCAGCCCAGGCTGGCCTGGAACTTGTGGTGATCCACCTCCTGCCTCAGCCTCCCGAGGGCTGGGATGACAGGCGTGCGCCACCATGCCTGGGGCAAATTCTTAAATCTGTAGAAAAGGGAAGCGTCACACCAAGTGACTAGAGGGATCAATCAAAATGTTACCACTTCCAAGCTCATCACCACGCCACATTCAAATACTAGAGATGGATCGGGGATTTGGCTCAGTGGGCCTCCCACCCGCCTTGCAAGCGCGAGGTCCTGAGTCCAATCCGCCGTACCGAAACAAACAAAGAAACAACAACAACAAAAAACAGTAGAGATATAAGTAGCGCCTAGGTACTTTCCTGGATTCGAAGCAAGTCGTGTACAAAAGCTCTGTCATCCCAATGTCATCAGATTTCTTAGCAGCAACCCTAGAAGTTAGAAAACAGATGAACATAGAATCGTTTGAAAATAAATTGCACTCAGAATTGTGAAGATTTCCGTCCAGTACTTATTACAGCTGGAATGACAATGTTTACACACGTCTGGCACGTTGGTAGACACAAGTTTCACACATCGCTTCTCTGGAGACCCAAGCAGAGTGTGGGAGGAAACCCAGGAAGGGGGGACATGGAGAGGGTGTTGGGAGTCACCCAGAGCACCCAGAACTGATGGGTTATCTGAGGTGTTGATCGTGTAAGATACTGCATCTGAGAATGTTCCGGGGCCTTGGAAGAATTGTTTGAGGAGAAGGGGGTAGACTTTGTGGGTGTGGGTAGAGGACTGTGGATTTCCCGGGAAGGGGGAGCAGGAAAAAGATACGATATGTGTGTGTACCAACTCCCCCAGATGAGGGTACCCGTTATGTACCACATACTAACGAAGGGGGGTGCTGGTGCTGTGTGTGTGACTCCCTGCAGAGGCCCTGGGTTCTACTGTTAGGACTATTAGAGCAGGTAGATAGATAGGAAATTAAAGATGTAAAAACAGAGGCAGCCAGTAACTTGAGAAAAATCCAAAAGTTCAGTAAGAAGTGAATCTTTTGTTTTCCCCAGTATGGGAGTCAAACTCAGGACCTTGTGTGAGTCTTTCTTTTTCTTTCTTTTTTTGGTACCAGGGATCAAGCTTGGGACCTTGCACTTGCAAAGCAGGCAGTGGAACCACTGAGCTACATCCCCAGCCCCCGGGCCTGTGAATTCTAATCATGCTATACTGCTTGTTCTGCAGTAACCATCCCATCGCCAAAACAGGGTGTATAGAATTACCCCCCCCCAATTACATAACAAAGATTAGGAAAATGTGGGAAGTTAAGCATAGAATTGGTTGTAGAAATTTTTTAAAAGTTAAAACCTTCTCTGTGTGAGAAGATTAACACATTATTTTAAAAATTGGTATTTTGGAATGTTACCCAAAGTGTTTTTAGTATCACAAGCGGATTATTCAGAAACTTGGAAATTAGTATCAAGAGACACCAAGAGTAACAGCAGTACTTCTAAGCTTCCAAAGTGGCTGCCTTGGAAATCGAGTTGGGGAGGGGCCATGATTTTTAAAGAGGAGGCTGTAGACTCCCGTGTATTTTACTTTTAGAAGACTGATTTCATGTGTTCCTTTGAGAAGAATAAACATGGACCGGAAATGACAATCTATCAGGTGTACCCTCTGTAAAATGGTAGGAATGTTAGTGTGCTGTGAGTAGGGCTCCTCAGCTGGCAGAGTATGGGCGTCCACATCAAATAGCCGTCTTTGCCAAGGGGCTCCCCTGACCCCGACGGGGCCCACCAGCTTTCTGGCCTCTGCCCAGTAGATGCCAGCCGATTCCTCCCCAGCCCTGGCGACTAACCACGTCCCTAGACACCGCCTCCCGTCCCCGGGGAGCAGAATCCCTGCGTCCTGGGAAGCGGCGGAAAAAGGACTTCACAAGTCTGTTGCTGGTTGCGTTGCCTGGGTGCGCGGACGGATGCGGGTTGATTTGTTAACACCGAAACAGCGGCTTCCGCGCTGAGAACTTGAACCTGTAAGGAGGACACCCAGCTGGGTCTGGTACCACGATGCCCCCACTGCTACCCCTGCCCGCCACCTCAGGTTAATTAACGCAGGGCCCGCTGAGCCAAGGAAGGGCATCTGCAGGGAACTCCAGTTCTCCTGCCGGGCTTAGTGGCTTCAGAAAACATAGCTGAGATTCTCCGCACTGCTCTCTGACGCACCGCTTGGGTCTCGCTGGAGCTGCAACTGGTAGGCAGTCGCCGAAGAGTCTGGAAACATACTGCACCCTTGTAATTCCAGGCTCGGTGGGCTGTGAGGCACACACTCCTGCCCTCCCTCTGGATTTCTTCCTTTTTGTCTTTAACAAGGTCTTAGGTTAAGTTCTAGGCGAATATCTCCCCCTAGAATTTACAAAGGAAGTCAACAGGGAAACGGCCCCTCACATTTCTCCCATGTGGAGGAAACCTCGTAAATAATTTCATGTTCCTATTTTACAACGGAGGAAGTTTAACCAGAGTTCATTTGTGAGCATTCGTTAGGAGCAGAAGGCCTGCGGGTCTATTCTGTTTCTATTCTTTTCTTCCTTTCTTTCCCCTCTCCCTGCCTTTCTTCCTTGGCCTTGGAGACTGAACCCTGTGCGTGCAGAGCTGGTGCTGTGCACTGAGCTACAGTCCCAGCCCTTTTCTTTTAGACGGTGGTGCCTCGGTTCACAAACTTAATCCTTTCCACAGTTCTAGTTGCAGACCGAATTGGACGAGAACCAAATCAAATTTCTTCATAAGGTCGGTGTTAAACCTAACCATTGAATTTGATTCAGTTTCATTCAGTTCGGTTTGCAATCAGAATCATGGGGAGAATGACGTTCATGAACTGAGGTACCGCTGTATTTTGACACAAGATCTCAGTAATTTGCCAGTGCTGGCTTCACACTGGAGATCCTCCTGTCTCAGCCTCTCATGCAGCTGGGACTGCAGGTACACATCACAGTGCCCGGATCCTTATTTCTGTCCAAATAAGACGGTGTGCAACAGCGCATGGTAGAAGAGTGGCAGGATGGGCTGTGCATTGGCTCAGGTTCGTGGCAATTCTTGGGAGCTCTGCCCAGGGCCCCAGTTGCAAGCAGATTGCCTGTCCCCTGCTCAACTCTCTCCACTGACCTTGAATGACCTTGTGCACCTGGTTCCAAGCTCACTGCCCTTGCCCTTCCCAAGCAAGACCTTCCACACGTCTCCATGCAGACTTAGCACCAGTGAGATTTTGCCGAGCTGCCCTGACTTCTGGAAACGCCCGTCCTGCTGCTCCGCGTGCTTTAGCCTGGCAGGGAAGGTGGGTCCCCTGGCAGCGCCGCCACCACGCTCGGTCAGATGGCGCTCCCTGCCTCTGGAGCAGGGCTACGGAAGAGTTTCACCGTAGCACCGAACAGAGGGTCAGCCTTGAACCCGTAGGTTGTCCGACACCCCACGGGCTCGCTCTTGTTAACGCTGCACTACCGCCGCGGGGATTCCGCCCAACAGGGCTGCATTCTGGGAACTGTGATTCTGTGGCTGTGAGAGCATCAGGCAGTGTCCATCCGCAAAGGACGGTGAGAACTCTGACCTACACGTGGGCCAAGGTTGACGGAGCAGAGTCACGTAGGGGGGTGACCCACACGGGTGCCGATGCCTGCCCCGCTATAGCAGGGGCCACGGATACGCCCGCCTGCACGTGTTGAAAGTTTTGCCTCACTTTCCTGTAATTCCTTAACAGGTGACGGAAGATAGAAGAGAGGCCTAGCAAGAGCGTGGGCGGAAGAGGGGATTTGCCTCCGCTTGCTTCTGAGTAAGTGAAACTATCAAGTGGGTTTCTTCCTGCGTAACGAAGAACCTGATAACTGCTTTCGGGGTTTTTTTCTGTGTCTAAAAGACAAATAACACCGCACGGTCGTTACGTGCTAGAAGTGTGATTTCTCCAGATCTCATGTAATAGTGATTTTACAACTCCCCTGTCAAACCCAAGCATGCCGAGGACCTTCATGGGCAGTTAACAGCCCGCTCGTCACATTGGACACGCGTGAATTTTAGAAATGAATGGCGACAGTAATTAAAATGTGGGCACCTCTGAGTAAAACACAGCTTCTGCATACCCCCCCAATGTGCATTTGAGATATTTATTTTTTTTCTGGTTTAGAGCAAACAAATGTGAGAAGTGTCTGCCTTTTTTCTGTCTTGTCTCCTGTGTGCTCTGGGAACGCGTCGGGACATACCAGCCGCAAGGCTGTGTACGGAACAGCCAGTTTCCCATGAAACCTGTGCTTGGGCCCCGTCCTGGGGCAGTGGGCTGGCAGGAATTCTGGGGCAGGCTCTGTCAGCAAGAGGCGAATGAGCCGGGGAAGATGGCTCGAGGCAGAGTGGGTAGGATTTTGGTGCCGCTGAGCAAGTACAACCACAGACTCCCTGAGTAGAGACGAGACAGGCACAAAGGAGCAGTTATTTTGGGGTAAGTAGGTAAAGCAGCAGGCCAGTGGAAGGAGGAGATTGATGTGGGAAAAAGGACGAAAGAAAGCGGCCCTGTCTACCACTTTCCCCAGGGGGCCTTTCACCCAAGTGCTCTCAGCATGAGCACAGCCAGCTTTGTCTGTGGGACACACCTGAGGTCACTCCCCTCGGTGAGGGGGGCCAGCACGGAGTTTGAAAGAGGTGATTCTTACGGCCCCCAAGACTGAAGCAAGAATAGTAGACCATGTCAGAATCCTTACGCAGACGATCCCGGGCTTGATGGTGGTTCGACTTAACGATTTTTCGGCTTTGTGATGCCAAATGGCTTTGTCACGGCACTGCCCCAGGACTCCAGTGGGAGTGCACTTTGATTATTGAATTTTGATGGCGTCCCGCCTCAGCAGTATGGGTCCCAGCTGGCCCCGAGATCCTGTGGGGGGAAAATAACCAGTATCTGCTGTGAGGACCTCAGTAAGCGAGGTGAATTCCCTGCACACCCAGCTTCCACAAATGTGGCGGGCCGCAGGGTTCTGGGAGACGGAACCCCGGTGTCACAAAGATCTGTGGCTGCCTGAACCAGGCTTTGTTGTTTCTGTAGCAGCCATATTGAGATGCGTGCAGTTCACAGAGCGGTAACTGACCCATTTAAAGGGCACCATTCAGCGGTTTTGAATACATTCAGAGTTGCCTCGGATCACCATGGTCGGTTTTAGAACGCGTCTTCACTCCCGAAAGAAACTCCTTCCCATCAGCAGCCTCTCCCCACTCCTACCTCCCGCCCCCACCGGCAACCACTCGTGCACCTCCTGACTCTGTGTGTTTGCCTCCTGTGGGCTTTTCACGGGTGCGGGATCTTGCGCAGAAGGGCGGCCTTCTGTGTCTGGCGTCATCCGCTCGGCGTATCGTTTTCGTGGTTCACCCTCATGGTCGCCTGTATCAGCACTTTCATGCTTTGTACAGGCGTGTGCGGTTCCAGTCTATGGATAGGTCCTGTTTCCTTTATTCATTCATCCATCGACCCTGTTCCTTTTGAAGTAACTCTGTCCCCCCTGCAGTACTGGGGATTGAACCTAAGGTCGTGAGCACGCTAGGCGAGCACTCCACCATCAGCTACACCCCCAGCTCCCTTATTTTTCTTAGAAGATCTTGCTGTGTCGCGCAGGCTGGCCTGGAACTTTGGATCATCCTGCCTCAGCCTCCCAAGCAGCTGGGGCTAGAGGCGTGCCACCACATCCAGCTTAAAGCCTTCTATTCTGCAGTCCTGTCAGACTCACAAAACATGGCCCGTGTAGCCTGGTGAGTCCCACTGTCTCTTCCCACTTCCCCTGAAGGACCACGTCTTGCCGGGCAGCCCCACATTATCCGGAGTCAGAACGCGGTACTAGCTTGATGGTGTAGACAGAAGCGTGTGCCCGTGTGGCCCTTTGAGGGGATTTTGCAGGGTTGTCGTGTGTGTAGGAGCACGAGAACCCGCCACAATCCAGACTAGAGGCTTTCCGTCACCGCAAGAAGCCCCCTCATGTCACCGCACTCCTTGCAGCCCCTGTAGTCTCTGTCTCCCTGATTCTGACTTTTCCAAGGTGACAGTGGTGGACTCTGAGACGGACTTTAGCCACAGCCCAGTGCCCTGAGTTCTGTCCCTGTGCTGTGTCTGACTGGAGTTGGATCCTCCATCACCCTTCCTCGCCTGCGGAAGTGTGTTCTCAGCCTGGCCTGTGCCGGGTTGTCTGATCGAGCCTCTTTGCCCCTGAGGACCAGTGTGTGTGCATCCGCCAGCCGCCCCCACCACATGCTGTGTGGCTTTCGGGCTGTGATGCATGTTTGTGTGTGCGAGTGTTGCTTCTCATTTAACTCTGATCTCTGTCCTTTTTGGGGTCTCAGTGACAAGGATGAGTGGCCAGCTCTCACCAGATCCTTTTTATCCTTGAAATCAAAGGGCACAGTTGACCCAGATAGTCATCTTTGAAGGGGCAGGAAGAGAAGAGGTGCCCTGGAGTCTGTGGACTTCGCAAAATTTGAGGTGGTCACAGAGACAAAACAGCACCCCCTTTAGGTCTCAGCTGGCCAGTGCACTCTGTCAAAGACCAGCTTGGGTGGGGTTTCCCCACTCTAGAGAGGGGGTTCGGCAAATGTGGGGCCCAGTCACCAGGTGGGGAGGGGTAATCTGTCTTAGCTAAACCCTCAAGGGTCCTTCTGCTGTGTGTGTGTGTGTGTGTGTGTGTGTGTGTGTGTGTGTGTGAGTGTGATACAGGGATTGAATTCAGGACCTTGTGCTTACTAGGCCGGCATGGTCCAATGAGCTAAATTCCTGTCTGGAACAGATTATTTTTTTTCAGTATCTGGGATCAAACTAAGGACCTGGCACTTGCTACTCAGGCGCAGTGCCTGTGAGCTAAATGCCCGGCCCTCGAGGGGCCTTCTGGACCCAGCCTGTTGATTCAGAGGTGTGGATGTAGGTGGGTAAACCCCTGGAACAATGGCACTTTGTGCTCTTTGACCAAAGGATTCACTGTCTTTCCTCCTTCCCTTCCAATCTGCAGTTCCAGATATACTCAATGTGCTTTTCCTTCTAGGGATATTTGTCTTTATTCGGAACACAAACACACACCTTGGGTGTTACAGTGTTCCTGGGAAACCTGCATTCTCCAGGGCAACCTGCTATGTACTTACCTTCCTCCCAGACCCAAGAGGTGGGGAACATGCTGGGTGTCCTCAGCTGATGGAAAGGCCGATGGTGGGATTCCTCCCAGCAGAGTCTGGATCATGAGGACCTAAATTAACATACGCAGTCAGAATTAAGTCCTTGAAAATGGCTCCCAAGTGTGGCTGTAAAATGGCCATGAAGGGCCTGAACATAATGGAAGAGCCTTCCATAACCTCCTCCACTGTTTCCTGCTCTTCCTTCAAATCAAAGGACGTTGTATTCTTTATGTTTCCTTTCAGTTTTCTGTATAAACATAGGCCGTTCCCAAATACCTCTTTCTAAGTATAGGACAGTGGTTCTCATCGGGGAGTGATTTCCCGCCCACCCCACAGGCGGGGGATTGGCAGTGTTTGGAGATACTTGATTGTCCCAGAGGGGATGGGGGCTCTCTCTGGTGCTAGCTAGTAGAGGTCAGGTGCTGCTCGGCCTCCTTTAACCCCAGAATCCTGCAGCCACAGACTTACCCCGCCCCTGTGGCAGCAGAGTCGAGGCCCAAAGCATCGCACATATAAAACATTGCCCTCTGTCTTCTTGCAGAGCAGCACAATGGTGAGCGATTCATAACTACTTTCGCCCCCAACAGGACTCTCATGCTCCACACCACTGTAAATTTGGGGAACAATGAAGATACTGTGTTAGTGTGCGCGGCCTGTGGTAACAAAGCAAAATAGCAGAGGCTGGGAGGCCTAAACAATAGATTCTTATTTTCTCACATTTCTGGAGGCCAGTTGTTCAAGGGGCAGGTGCCAGAAAATGTCACTTTTCTGGTCAGCTCTTTCTCCCTGGCTGTCTTCTTGTTGCGTCCTCACATGGCCTTTCCTTTTTGTCTGTGTACGGAGAGAGGGAGGATCGACTTTGATACCTCCTCTCCTTAGAAGGCCGCTAGTCCTTCCGGTCAGGGCTTCACCCCTGTGACCTCATTTAACCTTAATTGGTTCTCCATCAAGCCCTGAATCCAGATAGTCACGGTAGGGCCGAGGGCAGCGGTGGCACACAGAGCCCCTGAGTCAAGTCACCGTGTTGCTTTTTCTAAACTGAAACTCCAGTATCTGGATTTAATTGCAGTGTTGGTACTTTGTGATGAGTAAATGAGCTTTGGGTTGTACTTTGGGCACTCGGCCTCTGAAAGTTTCGTTATCACTGGCCTAGGGCTTCACCTGTGGATTTGGGAGGATCTGATTCATTCCACATAGTTTTTATAGACCTAAATTGTGTTTTCCTTTGTATTGAGAAATATATTTTGACAATATGATCATATATCATAGGTATTGATTTAGTTTAACTTCATGTCATTTGTAGCCTGTTTAAAAGAAAAATAATCTGTGTAATTTGACATTTGTCATCACCAGTAGTCCTGAATCTAACGGCTTGGGATAATTACAGAATTCTCCAAATTTCCCATCCACATGAACAATTCGTAATTTGGATGGGAGGTGCCAGGGATTGAACTCAGGACCTTGCACTCGTGAGGCAGGCGGTGGCACCACTGAGCTAAATCCCCAGCCGCAATTAGTAATTTTTTAAGGGAACTCCCAATGTGAAAATAGTTCCTCAAGAAAGAGATAGCTTTTACCTAAATCAGTTACAAAGAATTGTTAATTTGTACTGTGATAAAATGTGTGCTATAAAACTTAGCTTTA